AAGAAAATGAAAAAGAAAATGGCTGGCAGCTGTTCGAGAAGAAATTAATTCACTAGAAGAAAACAACACTTGGGAATTAGATGATTTAACAAAAGGAAGAAAACCAATAAGCTGTAAATGGTCTTTCAAAAGCAAGCTCAATGCAAAAAGAAAAATAGAAAGATTAGTCACAAAAGGATTTAGCCAGAAGTTTAGAACGGACTATGATGAAACTTCTGCTCCTGTAGTAAAATACACAACTCTACGAGCTTTCCTATGTGCAGCTTCGTATAAAAACATGTCTGTCAGACCTATTGATGTCAAAACAGCTTTCCTTCATGGAGAACTAGAAGAAGAAAGTTACATGACTCAACCTAAAGGATACTCAAAAGCTGGAAATGAACATAAATTTTGCAAGCTGAAGCAATCTATATATGATTTTAAACAAGCCACTAGAGCTTAAAATCTAAAAATTGGAAAATACTTCTAAACATGTCATTTCAACAAAGTAAAGCAGACCCATGCTTGTTTTTCAAAGGCATCAATAGAAAATTCACATATATAATATTATACGTAGATGATATGCTTATAGGAAGTGAAAGAGAAGAAGATATAATAGAAACAATCCAATAACTAAACACTAAATTGGAAATCAAAAACCTAGGTGAAGTCACTTACTACCTTGGCATAAACATAAAAAGCACTAAAGATGGAACGTTTTCCATAAACCAAAAGAATAAAATCAAAGAAATAGTTCAAAAATTTGGACTTTAAAACGAAAAACCAACATATACACCAATGGAAACAAACTAATCCACACTAGAAACTGAAGATGATCTTCTAGAGAATAATACAGAATAAGGACAAGCAGTAGGGGCATTATCATATATTGCAAAAATCAGAGCATGCGGCGTCAATCTACTGAGTAGAAGAAACGAAAAAACTAGGAACATAGATTGGAATGCTGTAAAGAAGTCATTCGATACTTATATACAGGTAAACACTTTAAGTTGGTTTTTAACAAAATTCAAGAACCTATTCTAACTGCATATTCAGACGCAGATTGGGCAAATGACAGAATAACAAGAAAATCCATCAGCGGATACATATTCAAACTAGGAAATAACTGCATTTCATGGAGCAGCAAAAGGCAAAACAGCAGTGCACTATCTTCAATTGAAGCAGAATATATTGCAGCAGCTAATACAGCATATTAAGCACAATGGCTATTAAATTTGCTTAACCCTTTGACTGCTATGAGGCGCAAAAGTGCTGCGTTCATTTGTCTCGAAAACTGCAACGCAGTGCTCTTGCGCTGCGAGTTGATTCAGTGTGTCTTTGTTGCTCCGTGTGTGTGAACGTAATCTGACCTCATGCGTACTTTGTAACACGAGTGCATTCTAAAACAACTTTTTACCATTTTTATATATTATTTTTAAAAAATAACCATGTCATGGGCTATTATTTCAGACATTGATTCGATTGCTAGTGATTCTGAGGATGGTGAAAGAACAGACACAAGTAGTGATGATAGCATTATTATAACTCATCAAAGAAAAAGACAGGATTGAAAGCGAGTCTTCTATCTCATCTTCAGAAACAGAAGAAACAACAACTTTTACGAATGTTCCTCCGACAAATGTGTTTTCCAAAGCAACAAATAATTTTTTTGAGACTCCTAGATGTGCGCCTCCCCCCAATGCTACACCTATAACATATTTCAATTTATTTTTTACCACATCACTGCTTGAAACCATTGTAAGGGAAACAAACTACCCAGTTTATATGCTACCCAGTTTTTTGCATACTGTTTCGAATAATTCTCGAGCAAAAAAGTGGACGCCGACAACAATATACGAAATAAAAGCCTTTATTGCAGTCTTACTTGAAATGGGAATTACGAGAAGGCCAACAAAATCTTTTTCATCTTTCATTTCAAGATCTTTTTTTTAATAGCACTTTGGAAGAGAGGTTGTCCTAACTGAATTTTTGTAAGTGAAAATCTTAGATCAAGATCTTAACAAGGGGTGTTCTCAATTCTTTGGCTGTACTAATGTACATTTGTTGAGCCAAGTGTCAAGTTGATGCTGATGGCTCTTTCTCCATTATCGTTTTGGGACATCCTTGCTGTCTTTCATTTGACCTTTATGCCCACTTTGTCATCAGCCTCTGCGTTCACTCAAAGTTGTCAAATGATACTCTTGAAAATGGCTTTGGCTTATTTAAAGGCACTAAAACATTTCCTGTGTGTTCTGGCAGGTCTCTGGTCCCAATGATAAAATGTTTTAACTTAACTCATATTGGACCACTTTCAAAAATTTCCACCAAAAAAAATGTAACACTTTATAGATATCAATAATATACACATGCAAAACAAAAATTTCCTATTAATAGGACGATGGTCCAATACACCACTAAACTTTACAAAAATTTTGCGTACTTACGCAATAGCCAATTAGCAATGAAAATTGGGAGAACGGTCATTACAAAGTCTAACATTGCATAATTTGCAAATATTTGTAGGTTTTCTGTTGCATGTTTTTAATTGGCATCATCTCTGGCATCCCACGGGATTTTTTACTTTCAGTGACACTAAAAGAATGATTATTTGCTTGTTTTGCATACCAGTTAAACTCTACTACTCTATGTGATATGTCTTTAGCCATCATGTGAAAAAGTTCAATTGGAGTTTTTCCTGACACCACATATAGAATAATTTGATGGTCTTGAAAAGAAATACAGCTTGGTGAAAGCATGAATTGGGGGCTCACATTTTTTCCACTTACGTGCTTTGTTCTTAACAGTTTTTTGATAAAATTTCTACAGTTCCTGCGGTATATTCCATTTCAGATTCGCCACATGGTACTGATACATTACAGTTTGTGGCAGAATCATCTATCTGTTCTTCTTCACTAACTGAATAAGATTCAGGGGGAATAATAACCATTTTAGGCTCATGAATTTCTTCATCAGCGAAAGAATTCATATATTCAAGAGCCTATAGAGCTGTTAGAAATTTTCTTGCCATTTTAAAAATATTGCTCTTTCACGGGCAATTGAAATTTTCACTAAAGTAATGAACCGGGAAGTAACTGATCTATTTTAGAAAAAAATACTGCGAATTATTTCTCCCAAAAGAACAAGCACATGTGCAGTTCTGTAGAAAAGTTTCATCTGACATTACAGCTTTGAATGCCCACAGAGCAACCATCAGGTTCCAAGTTCAAAAACATACTTTCCAGGCTAAATTCCACTAAAAATGTTTATCTATTTTACTCAAAAAAAAAAATATTTAGGAGGTTGTGTGACACTTTACTTTGGTAATGTAATACAAGAGATACCCAAAGAAAATTCCAGAATAATCTATTCCTGAATCCTTCCATATGGCACATTAATGCCATTGTATGAATACCTATTGTTCAAAATTAGTTTGATGGAATGTGATCCACGAATTGGAGGAGTGACGAGCGAAAAAAGTTGGGAATGAGACTGCTGTCCTCTTTACAGGACACATATAAAAATGTAAACAAAATACCTTAAAAAAGATCATTTTTATTTCTATAAATAGTACTATAAATCTACTAGCAGAAATGTATACATCTGTTTAGGAAAAATAGATTTTAATCCTAAATAAAAGATCAAAAATAAATCATTTTAAAGGGTTATTTTTACATTTTTTTAATGAAATTAATTATGACAGGCCATTTTTTTTAGCCTACATACAAAACTTACATCTATTTCAAGGGAGTTATGCCAAAGTTTATCTATTTGCTTACCTTTCTTTCCCATTTAACGAAATTTAATTGGGCCATCCTATATTCAAGGCAGCAGTCCAATATGGGTTAAAAAAAAAAAAAAAAAAAAAAAAAAAAAAAAAAGAACTCTGTTTGAATATGGGTATTTCTTCAAAAACTAACTGAAGTCCATAAATAAGTTTACCTTGGATCCTTACACCTGCATACACAATTCCACATTACTAGCTCTACCCATTGACGAATTATTAAACTAAAAAGTTTGCTATGCCCTAAGAAACACCCTGTATATATACACACACATACAACTTTATTATTCATTTAGTTAGATTGTTATTCATAATCTAATATCTAAAACATACTCTTCTCTACTCATTCATGCTTCTGTCCTGCTAACAATCTGCAGTCTCTCTCCAACTGTATTGTTCTAACATACACAAATAATGTTTCAATAAACCATCATGCTGCTATATCTTCACCATGTTCTACATCAGAGAATAAATTCTGATTATTATAGCAAGCAAGCAGACAGAACCTACACTTTATCTTTCTGTTTAAGAAGCAATTGGCTCTTAATGCAGTGCCTGTAAATTTATTTGGAAGGAATTTTATTTTTAGCCACCTCCTCAATTCCTTTTTTCCCAAGTTCAGCGGCCAATATTCAGAAATTCATTGCATTAACAATGACTTAATAAAAACTTTGAAGTTATGATGTATCACTGCTTCTACGTTCAAATCAAAAATGTACTTTTAGCTGCCTTTCTAACAACCTCATCCACGTTTGCTTACTGTGAACATTATATAAAAAAAAAAAATTCTCTAGCAATGTGAATTAAATTACATCTCTCTTTCAGTGACAGAAAATTGATATCTGTAAAATGAGTTTGTTTACAAACAATCAACATATTCAGTTCCTAAACTTTCATACTTCTATTAGTGCAAGACAGCCCAATTTACAACATCAGTAGCCATAATCAGGTTGACATTTACATAATAATAATGTGCAGCTTCTCCTTACGTGAAATCGAGTGCTGAACAATCAGTGGATTTTTATTTTTCTTGGGTGGTGGGCGACAGCGATTCCAACTTAAAGGATCTCTCATGAGATGGAGAACGTACATAATAAGCTGAGTTGGATCGCATCGAATAAGTAAACTGATATTAGTCTACCAGATATGTAAGCTACATTTTAAGATCTCACTATAGCAAATTGTAACAATTATTCATAATTATAAACTAGGAATTAGTCAAGGCTTTTATAAAACTTACCAAGTATTCTAACAATTGATTTAAGCCATTGGATTTGAAAGTGCTGTTCAAATTCTCAGTGCTTCGTTTACTCACAGGGAAAAAGTCCTATTAAAAAAATGAAATAAAATACATATACAGAGAACATCAAGCCTATATTTTTTAAATAACAGATACACACATAGATTAGAGTTTATATGCTTTTCAATGTGTTTTTTCAAAAAGGATATATAAATAAGAAAGATCTATAATAGAAAGAATACTGCTGCTATTTTGCTATTCCTGCTGTTATACAAATTTATCACCTTATCTTTAGTTTGATAAAATGCTACAGTTTAAAGGAAGATAAAATACTTAATCTTTTATTAATTTTTTCTTAATTTCTTTAAGGAAACAAGTTTCCTGCCCATTACTTGAGCACTCTATTTCATCTGTTTCATTCTTTTAGCAGGTAGCTTGATATTGTTATTGGTGCTGAGTTTAACATATTCGCTGCCGATCATGCACTGGCATGTGATTATTGCTGGAAAGCAAAACACACTCTGGAGCATAGTGTGCTACATCTCAGGTACCAGTCACGCGCTTGTGCAGGAAAAGCAACAGCTCATTGTTTATTTTCAAGTTCAATTGGCATTAGGTTTTGAATATGTATTTTGGTATTGGTGTGGAGTGAAAGTGAGAACATAGTTATAAATGTATGTGGTTTGGAATGAAAACAAAGTTTCGTTCATGCAAAGATGATTCATGAATAACATTTTTTATTTTACAATGATATTATTGCAACTATCTTATAATAAATTCATTTGTAATATGTATATATATTTGTGACATAGTTTCATACAAAAATAATGCATCCTGTTACTTATTTTGATTCATTTTTAAATGCCACATGCCAGTGGGTAATGCAGCACTGCAGAAAAATTTTACCTCTAGAGCCGATTGCGTACTGCCCCATAGTCATAAAATTCTATACTTAAACGCTTAGCAATCAAAGTGGTTCAAGTGGTTCACATAATAACCTTTTATTAGGGTACAATCTATTTCTATGACATAGCATTAACTATCAACACAACTTCACATGACCAGCAGCCAAAGTGTTAATGCCAGTTTCAGTTCATTTATTTGGCTGGTGTGCTGTTCCAAACATTTGAATCCTATGTATTTTTTAAAACTGCCTGCACTTAGACTAAGAAGGTGTCTTTCTTGCAGACAATAAAATATCCCGACATTCATTGCTGCAAAATTTAACTGCCAAAAAAGTTTCCCATATGCCATTTCTTAGATAAGCCGCCCAGACGGTATAGTGGTTAGGGACTCCTGACTGCGATACCAAAGGGCCTGGGTTCCTATCATGGATATAAAATTGTCTGTCCCTTCATTGGAGGTAACTGTGGTCACCTATTAAATGCCTCCACAATAAAATGGTAACCAATTCTTATGGATCAGAGGTTCCTGATTACAAATCAGACATTTTCTTCAACCAAGGAGGTCCTCAATGTATCAGATGACCTCACATAGAAAGTATGTATAGATATTCAAGTTCTTGATTTACATCCTAGCCAAATAAACACACAAAAATACATTATAAGAAAGAAATTTAAGTTAACACTTTTGAGTCGACGCGCCTTTGTTTAAGACGTTCCCTTGGGATGAATGACAGTCAAAAGGAATTTTTCCCACAGGATGGGGTTTCGAGTCACTAAGTCTAACTTTAGGTGAAAAAAATCAAAAATAGTTTAAGTCCTAATGTCATAATTTTTGGTAGCATTCTAGATTTTTACTTTCAAAAAGCTATCATATATGTTAAAATTAGCATTATTAATATTTTTCCTTAACTTTATATGAAAATATATTTAAAACAAATTGCTTACTTTGAGAAATAATTTTTGGAATCACTGTTCAAATTATTCCAAAATTTTAACTGACAAAACTAATTTAAACTTTAAGATAAAAATACAAGAAAGATTATTTAGAAGAAAAAGCAACAAAATCTTTTATGTGATGTGGATAGGAGGCACTCACTGGGCTCAGTCTCTAACAAAACGTCCATATCAAAATCACTAGAAATATTGCTCTCTAACTCTTTAGAAAATGAATCATCACTTTCATCCATGTCATTAACTGGCTCATTTATTATGGAAGTACATCCTTCTGATAAATAATGCTTTCTCACCATAATAAACTGAAGTCATGACTTTACAAAATAAAAAGGGTACATATGCAAAATATAAGTGATAAAAGCAATGCAAAGCATGCAGAACCCCACACAGTAACCCTTAGAGACCCTACATAGTCAACAGAAATAGTTCAATAAAATGATAAAATATAAATTAATTCAAAATAATAAAATTTTATATATATATATATATATATATATATATATACATAAAGGAATAACTATAAAGTAAGCAGTTCAAAAAGCTAATATAATTACACACTCACAGCAGCAATAAGTGATGATAATAATGCAAAATAAATAAGTTTAAAATCTATCCCATATCCAATTCAGAATAAACCACATGCAAAACACACACACACACACACAAACAAACAAAACAAAAAAGAAGCAAAGTGGTAAAATGCTTGAAAGGTGTTAAAACCAAAAATGAAAACATAACAGAAAATTCACATTTTTATGAGAGGATTGGTGCAATGAATGAAGTAAATACTAAATCAGCCTGTTTTTGAACTAACAAAGACACAAATTAAAGTTCAATATTAAAGATAAACTCAGAAAAATTAAAGTACAGTCAAAAGTCTTTAATCCGGACTCGTCGGGACTTCGGCGGTTCCGGATTATCGATTTTTCCGGATTATAGATCATCAGTTTAAATCTGGTAAGATGGCATGCAGAAATTATAAAATTAAAAATATGAAACCATAATTTATAAAATAATGAGCAATTATGATCTAAAGGGTATCAAAATTTACCAAAAAAGAAGCCTAATATTTATTTGTTTACTTTATTAAACATTTCTTTCAACGCGCGGATGTGTAAAGCATACCTTACGCATAGTCGAAATTAGAAGATTGCAACCAGAAAACTATTTGATTTGTATTCGTGATATTTATAATGACGAGGAATTTGATTTAAATCATATCAAAGACGGAGTACATCGAGATTAAATACTACATTTAGTAAGGAATTATAAGCACAATAAAATAAAAACATCTGCCCTGAAGATAACGATAGTGTTGACAGATCAACTTCCAGTTCATTGCGCCCCGCGACGTCCCCCCCCCCGCGCAGAGCAGCGTGAAATTGATAAACAGATTTCGGAATGGTTAGATAAACAAAGGATATGCTTTTATCCATTTTTTGTAGCAATTCGTTTTTTGTTTGATGGACATCGAAACATACTTTTGTTTTCTAGATCCTTTGGGAGCTCCAGCATCGGAAATTCTATTTCACATAATCAAAAGTTCAAGCTTACTTTTAGAAAATTGCTCTTACAGTCTGCAAAAAATAATAAGCCGGATCCATTTCGAAGATTAAGGAACAACGCAATTATCAGCATTAACTGAAATAGATAATTAGATAATTTTAGTTTATACCGTCCGTTATACATTAAACGCACACGCGAAAACGTATTCTGCACTTGCGCACACGCATATGCGCAGTAGTCAAGGTCTTACGCGCACGCGTAAAACGCCTGTGCGCATGTGCCAACGCGGCGCATGCGCAGAAAGTTTTTAGCTTTGAGGTCCGGATTATAGATCATTCCGGATTACGGGTGTCCGAATTAATGACTTTTGACTGTAATGTCTGTCTTAATCAATCTAACCCCTACAGGCTACAGTCAGCAGTTAACATCACAAAAAATTCTAAAATTATGGCATTAAAAACAAAAAAAGCTTTAAAATCTTACTTATTATTTATTTTGAGCAGACCAAGTCTAAAAAACAAACATGTAAATGCAAGCAATCCAAAACTTGAGAAAATGTAATAATTTGAAACCATACAGTATGGAGAATATTTTTGGCAAAATTATAAATAAGCAAAAAGGCGTAAAAATCTAATAAAAATAATTTTCTATTAAAGTGGGCCGAGTGCCAAAAAAAAAATCAGCAGAAAATAATCAACATATGGAAAAATAACAAATGAAAATTTGATTCAAAAAGCAAAAGAAAAAGAGTAATAGTTCTTAAAATCTGTAACATTACAGCTACAAAAGTTTTGAAACGAAAAAGCATCAATTTGACCATTGTAGCAATTGACCATTGTTGAACTTAACATGTGCTGAGTAATGGAACAATATAAACTACAATTTTTAACTGATTAATAATGATTAAAAATTATTCTAAAAACTTACAATGTATTTTTAAACTACTTAATAATAATAAAAATAATTAGAAAAAACTTCTAATGTAAATTTTCAACTGATTAATAATAAAAGTAATGTACTTTTCTAATTATTTTTATAATTAATTATCAGTTTAAAATTTGTAGTTTATTTTATTTCATTACTTAACACATATTAGATTTAAGTCATTTGCTCCTGGGCAGGTGAAACAAATACTTTTTTCATTTCAAAATTTGCATTGCTCTCAAATTTTCATTTTTTATTACTTTTTCATATGTTGGATTGCTTCAGTTCATGTTTCATTAGGACTCATTCACTTTAAAAGGAATTAATTTTTACTAGATTTTTATGCCTTTTTTGCATATTTATGATTTAAATGCTATAATTGGCCTGCATGGTTTCAAATTATGTTGTTTCTTGTGTTGGAGTGCTTGTATTTACATGTTTGTTTATTGGACTCTGTCTGCTCAAAAAAAAAAAAAAAAAAAAAAAAAAACTAATTTTTAAATCTTTTTTATGTTTTTAATGCTATACTTTTGTAATTTTTTGCACTACTTACTACAGGCTATAGGGGTTGGACTATAAAGACAAAGATTACTTTGATTAATTTTCAGAGATTATTTTACGTGTTAAACTTTCATTTAGCTTTGTTGGTTCAGAAACAGGCTATTATCTACTTCTTTGGTTGCACCAACCCCCTGATGAAGATGCTTTTTTTTTCCTTCCCTTTTTATTCTTGTTTTGCCGATTTTTTAGGGGGGGGGCATATGGTTTGTTTCTAACTGAATATGTGATGGACTTTAAACATATATACCTTATTTTACATTACACATACATACATTTACATATAAATATACACAAATGTATGCATATATATACACAAAGCATCATATTAAAAAGCATACCATTAACCGAGAATCTAATCCAGCTTTTCTAAGGGATGCCCAAACAGTAGCACTATCTTTTTCTCCAAGCCATGTTTTAAAAACTTCCACAATGAATTCTAGAGCAATTCCTGAAAATGAACATTGATTGATAAAATAAGCAAACAGAATGCTTTATCAACTGTAGACAATTCCAAAAATACATCTTTAACAAGGTTATATTATGCAAGTTTCAAAATTACCATCTTTAACCAGATGATCTTGCAGCACTTTGGGAAGCACAGTCGGTGGTATCTGGCCACCTGCAAGAAGTATTGCAGTCACTTTTCCTAATTTTTCTCGCTCTACTGGTGAAAAACCTTTTAAAAATACTAGCACCTTAAAAAAAATAAGAAACAGTGAATTCAACATGTTTGCTTGAAAATTAGGAAATAATTTGCTGATCAAAATCAAAGTCAAAGCAAAGTTGGCACTGCATTTAAGGAAACTTAGAAACAAACCTTTTTAAATTCATCTTCTAAAGTCTTCTCCAAATACTTATAACGCCTAATAACTTTTGTAATCACCTTTAAGAAATATAAAAAAAAAAAGTATTTAGAAACACTACATCTAAGCTTACAACATAAATTTCTTTAACTCTTTGTGGCTCAGTGTTCCACTACATAGAACACCCAAATTGAATCACTTCTGAAACGTTTAAATTCAACCGTTAATAGATAAAAATGCCTTTATAATATACTTTGAATTTTCTTTTTAAACAGTAGATAGCAGCATATCACAATGAGACACAGAATTTTCATTTATTATGTGTTATTAAAATCCACTTTTTTTTCAAGTAATTTTCTTTCTCTATTTTTTAATGATATAAAAATTTTCATTTGGAAAAAAAAAATAGGCATAATTTTGCTGGCTGTACTCCAAATTACTTGTTCGATATTTTTTTTAATCTTTCATACAAAAACCATATGCAGAATCATTGAATAAAACCCGGTGTTCCATTAGCGGGAACACTGCGCCTTTAGCGATCTCATGCTCTTACGAATCAGAACATCTGCGCTTAGGAGAGAACATCCGTTGTTTACGTTTTCTGTTTCCGTTTTTTTTTTGGGGGGGAATGAATTCAAACAAAGCAGTATTGAGGGGTGAGGTGTGTTTTGTGTTATGAAAGCCTTAATATTGGCATCTCGAATTTTTTGGGAGTAGTTTTTAGGCGGGAATTTTATTAGTAGCTTGACTCATCTTTACTTAGACCTGCGCGAATTTTTTGCTGTCGCTTTTTAGTCTCATTCCCGTTTATTTTCAATAATTGTGTAGATATTTTTCGTGTATGTATATATTATAGGCTTATTTTTCTTTATTGTTAATATTAATCGTAGTTAATTTTTTTATTATTAATTTTGTATAAATGGTGCGGAGAGGTCTAACTCTTTCCGAAGCGCTAAAAGTGTTTCATGAATTACCCTCCAATTACAGCCCAAAGATTTCCATTTAAATTTGCTGTGTTCCCTCTGTGCCATGAAAGTGTCAAAGATAACTTTGAAGAGGCAACTTCCTTCAAGACCTGAAGATACTCCCAGGCATAAAGTAAAGGATTCCGGGGGGAAACGCTACAGTAGTGTTATACGCGTCTACGCGTATCCTTCACATATCGGTGAAGGGTACGCGTAGACGATGTGCACATTGTAGCACGAAGTAGAAGCCGAGCAAAACCTGTAAAGTTGGTTTGTGCTTCCATCAAAAACGTGTGACTTGCTTTGAACAATTTCACGAAGCTAAGAAATAGGAAAATTTGTAAATATTTTTGTATATAGGGCTTGTGCATATAGATATTTATCTCATTTATCCGTATATATTCAAGAATATTGTGTATATCCAGGAAGCCATGTATACAGCCATAATACAGAGGTTTTTCATTCTTATGCAAACGCTTCTACTCATTTTCGTGCTTCACTGCAATGCTCGCTTAGTCGCACTTTTAAAAGCTCTGGCAGCGCAGTGTTCCTCCTCATGAAACACCCACAGAATTAAAACGGTAAGTGCAATTTTTACAAAATTTTACCTGTATACTACTTTAGGATTAAATAGACTGCATACAACTTTTTTTGTTGAAATTTCCACGTTAACGTATAGTGCGCCGCAAAGGGTTAAAAAAAATAATAAAAAGCTGAAGAATTTATGCACCAGTTTTTTGCAGCTGCTGTTTTCCTCCCCCTTCCCATATATAACAAATAAAAGAAGGTAAATTAAGAACTTTTAAAGATTTACATATATGGTGAAAACTTATGTTGATGAGTGATAAGCAAATTACATATTATGAGTGTTTTAATCAAGTGGTTTTATTATTTGAAAACATTCCAGTTAAAAATTTTAAAAATTAATGATTTTGGTACTACCAAATTTAGCCACAATTTATAAATGAAATGCTACAAAATCTCTCTGGAATTAGATTTCATACTTACTTCATTACAATTTGATTTGATATAGAAGTTGATTTCATACTGGGATGTGTGTATCAAGTTGATTTCATACTGGGATGTGTGTAAACTATAGGCTTCTGGAATACAGTGTGAACTGTATTATATGATGCAAAGCATTCAAATAAATTCATTTTCGTTTAATTTTTGACAGCCTGGAATATTAATTTTGCCAAATATTTTCTCCTTATTTGCCTGTTTGTAACAATGGTCTTTTTACCACATCAGGTAGATGTATTACTTCTAGAAATTGGTTTGATATGCAGAGTGCATATAAAATACCTAGCAAAATTTTAAAGGGTGACAGAGGGGACCAAAACAGGCATATTTGCCAAAGAATGTCTCCAGAAATGGCTTGTTTAAATTCCAGTAGATGTGGCTGGATATGGCAGTCACTAACATCTGGGAGTAAAGATGTCATTTTCAAACTGGGATTTACAACAGTATGCATTACTTTACAAACACAGACCTCCCAGATATCCATTTGACACAAGAATAGCTAAGAGAAATGGACTACATGGTCAGTGGCCATACAGGGAACGATTCAAGGTGAGACAAATACAAAGTCAATAAATATTTAAAAATGAATCTTCAATATTTAAAAGTGAATCTGTGAAAGAGGATCTTTCAGTGCTTTCACTTTTATGTGCAGCTGAGCTCAATCAATCCATAAGCATGAGAGTCATTTTGCAAGACATGGGTCTGAAGCATTCACCCACAGGAAAGGTTTAATATTATGAAGGAATGCACCCATACCACTTACAGAAAGTGCTTTCATTGACAATGGAAGACTATCCTCTCCATGCAAAGTTAGCCTACTGGTACCTGTAACAGGCTTGAACTACAGCTGAACTTCCCTGTATGCATGTTATTATTGACAGACGAAGCTATATTTAGACGAGGATTGTTTAATGCCTACAGTGTGCATGTTTGGGCTCTTGAATTCACATGCAACACGGTTACATGCATACCAGTGATGATTTTCGATCAATGTGTAGGCTAGTTTGGTGCATAATTATTTGATTGAACCATACATCCTACCTGCTTGTCACATGGATGGACTCACATAGTCCACCTACCTTCTTGCAAGAGACATTTCAGGAACTAATGGCCAATGTCACTGTGTCTACTTGAAGCAGAATCTAATTCCAACATAATGGTGCTTCTATACAATTCAGCACTGCAGTCAGGAATTACCTGGATGCCATGTATGAAAAAAAAAAAAAAAAAAAAAAAAAAAAAAAACACTGGATAGGTCATGGTTGACCTATTCATTACCCATTATCACTAGATTTAGTATGTTCAGATTTCTTCTTTGAGGGTATTAAAAAACATTGTGTATGATACTCCCATTGATTCTAAAAAGATCTTACAGTCAAACTGCTGGAGATGTTAAGGACATGCTTGGCATCTTTGAAAATGTATGGTCATCCATGTGCCAGTGGTGTGAAGTGGCTGTATTGGTGGTCACTGGGCATCATCAACACATCTTTCTTTCGGCATCTGCAGTAAAACAATACTCCTTAAACAGACTTAAATTTCCTTTAATCTTTCTTTCACCTTTCATGATTTTCTTCAACAGTACTTAAATGCATTACCTCCATAAGACATTCTATTACAAAAAATGCCTATTTTGGTCCCCCCTATCATCCTTTAAAATTTGTATTCATATCCCATCATATTTGCTTCAGGTGCAGAGTAATAACCAAGTAGCACATGATGTAGCAAAGATGTTGCAAACTAATCCGAGAGGTTGCAAAGTGGTTGTGGTAACTTTTATGGCATCTTTACAATGCGGCGAAGATGTAAAATGTTTGCCATTGCATCTTCGCAATTTCTCAATGTTGTTCACACATTGTGAGCTGACTGCTTTTATGCATGGTTGTTTTGGGCATTTCTTTCCTCGTGTTCGAAGCGCATGCGTGGATTTTATGTTTTTGCAAGTGCTGGTGACTTTTCTTAGTATACGATTTACTATTGCTGGTTTTTTTCTAGTAACAACCTTTCATTCAAAATGGAGGGAAATAAAAATCTTCCACCAATTTCTATTTCATGTGACTTAATGGAGGCAGCTCGCTGCCATGCATTAGGCTTACCCTTGGACAATACCTTAGATGATGGATGGCAGGAATTATTGTTGGAAGAACAATATTCTCTCAAAGACTTTATATGACAATTGTGAAACAATTAAAAGTGATGTTGAATACAATAGGAATTTATGAAATATCAGACAGAGATGGTACTATCTTAAAAGTGCCAAGAAAATGTTCAAAACTGAAAGAAGATGCTTATCTGTCTATATTTCCTAATAATAAAAAAGTTTTATTGATTTTGTGAACAATTGGATCAAGAGGTAATGTGTTCAATTTGATTTCAAAACCAGTTGTTATAAAAAACAGTGATCATGTATTTTTAATTAATTTAAATTTATTGTCAGCACCAAGGGTTGTTTCAAGCACAAAAATCAATGAGTTTAAATATTTTTCTTGGTCATGTTTCTGTTCTTGTATCTTACTTCAAAAGTGAAAAGCTTTTTAGTGAAAAAGAAAACTGTGTGTTTCATTGGGAAAAATGCATTTCTCCAGATAAAGATATATATGACAATAAAAAATTCATATTACAGCAAATGAACTTGTGTGATAAATCTAAAATGGCTCGAAGATACAGTAGTGAACTTTTAATTTTTGCATATTCTTTATACATGAAATCCTCATCATGTTATTCTTTGTTGAATGTCATCAACCGATCATTGACAGTCAATCATTCTGAATCTCGACAATTCGTTACAAAATGTGAATACAAAAAATACACGAGTGAAAAATTTAACAAATTGAACGATGAAAATAGAATCATAAATCTACTAATTGATGAAATCTATGTAAAGAAATCAATTGCTTATAAAGGGAAATCAATATCAGGTTTTGCAGAAAATAAGTACGATACTGAAGCTGACACTGTACAATCTTTCGTAATAAGCTCTATTTTATTCTTCTTATAAAGAAACTGCTGCCTTAGTTTCTGATAATAATATGAATTCAGATTATGCTGCGACCCACAAACTTCTTCATATTCAGGACGAAGCAGAATTATCA